TAATGCTTTAATGTAATTATTAATACGTTACTCTAGATTCTTGAAGAATTTATCAACTTTATTTTATAATACGAATTGAGAAAGATGTTGGTTAATTCTTTAAAACCCGTTTTCCAGCCACCCTCTGTCCGGGTGGTTTCAGTACGACAGACTTCAATATTTCTTCTGTAATTGGTATGCGTCCATATATTTTTGGTGCATTTGTGTTCGGCCTGCCCTCGATAAAGGAGCCTTTGGCCGTTCCTCGAACTTCATCCCTAAACGCAGGCATACCGATTGTCATTGGTGGTGTAGGAGGTGGTGTCGGAGGTGGTGGAGGTAGCGTAGGTGATGGAGGTAACTTAAAATCTTTTGTTGTCGGAGGTTGTGGAGGTGGAGGCGGTGGCCTAGGAACCTCATTTACCGGAGGCGATTCTGTTTGCATAGATGCCGAACACGTTGGTGTGGTTATTTGGTTGCATGAATGCGTGTTCGGTGAGTTTTGATTGATTCTGATTGAAATTCGATTTTTTGATCCACTATCTAGATGAATGTTGGGTTAAAAAATAATGTTTAATATTATTGTAGGTAGGTTGATATATTATAAATTATAATATTACTTTTTATGGACGCCAGTTCTTTTCTGAATAGTTCCATTGTGTCTAATGTAAAAATATTTTGATGTAAAGTACAATAAATACTTAATATATTTAATTATATGAAAAACTAACCTTCTATAGATTTCACTTTTCGCTCTATAAACATTTTACTTGAATCCTTTTCGGTTATTTTAAAACTTCTTTGTGACTCTGCGTCATAAAATACGTCCTCATCATCCTATCAATATAAATAGGTACTGTCACTATTTATAGTTGCACAACATTGGTATTCAAGTACCACATTAAACATTATATTTTTAAACTTTAAATAAAATATTTACCTACCTACCTAGTTTATTATATTTAAATTATAATGAATCACATATTATTATACTATAGCTGAACCCGTGCACTTTGTAACCTGTTAAAAATCCTACTTTTTATAATGTCTCAAACTGCAGTATGTTAAATTCGTTACCTGTGATTATGCTACCAGTATATTTTTATACATAAATTGGTTAAAATATACTAAGTAGTAATCTAACAACAATATTCAATTAAGTTTAATCATTATGTAAATTTATTCGTTCGAGAAGTCTGACAATTTAAATATTCAAGTTAATGATATTTAGGCCTGTCACATTTTAATAAGTTAAGTTAGGCTAAGGCCTATCTTCTACACATAGGCCTAATATATCTCTGAACCAAATTTAGTCCCAATCCGTTAAGCCGTTTAGGAATGCATAAAGGATAAACAGACAGATAGACAGAAATTCACGATTTAATGGCCCTCATAGGTACATTCTACTTAGGTACCTGATTTTAAGTACTATTATTCCATTGCTTCTTCAATCAAGCCAACCAAACCTTCCTATGTTCCCCTCTGTTTATTGTACTTATTGTAAAAATATTTGATACAGATCATAGAAATTAAAATAATGATGACAAAAAATAATATTTTATTTACCTCTGTTAAATCCTCAATTATTTGTTCCTCGTGATTATCTTTTGATTGGTTCTTCTTCTGGGATAAATAACAACTTATCATACCCACCATGCCTATAACGCCAAATATAAGTCCGAATAATGATTCTTTTGACATTTTTCAATAAAACTTCGCACAGACAATATATTTTAAAAAAAACTATATTTGAAAATGAACAAATTTGTTAATACAATCTATTTATTCGTAACTATGGATATATTATAATATCTATCACTTCCCAGCGTTTCCCGGGTAATGATTTGTTTATATTTAAATGTATATAAATATAGCACGCACCGTAAATGTTAAAAATTTGAAAACTTTGCAAAATATTTATTTCAGTACCAAAATTCGTCTTAATATAAGTTCACCCAACTGAAACATTAAGTTTTACCTTAAATCGTGATCACACTGTGGCATTAATCACATACGTACCTTCTTAAATCTTATTGATAGTAGTAAAAGTAATAAAGTTGGTGCAAAACATCATATGTCTACCAGTACAAACATTTAATATGTCTTACGGTCCTATGAGCTCCACCTATGATTATTATTAATTTCCAAACGTTTTACCTATTTTTATTTCTTTATTGGCCCACAATTACCAGACAATTACCTATAGCCTATAAATAGTCATTACTCATTAGTCATTACCAATATTTTTCATATTTTATGTGAGTTAATGTCGATTATTTTTGTTAGCATGCGTAACATCTATAGTTATGCCACAGAACAATGTTTTTATTTGTCATTGATTATATTTTTCACGTCATAAGTCGATGTTTGTTTTTAAATGAATTACACTTCGTGAACCAATTAATGGGCGGATAGGCCCATCGGGAAATTGGTATTTCCTGGTAGGCCCCCATCAATATTATACTCAGAGGCCCCAATCCCGAAAAATAAAAATAAAAAGTAACAATTGTGTAAAGATTAATTTTTATAATACTGGCTAGCGCCTTGGCGGCTGTACAATATTAATGCGTATTTATAATATTTGTATAGGTACCTAGGTACTCTAAGTATGATACTCGTCGATATCAGTATAAACACATACATATGCTGTTGTATGTACTATTGTACTAAAACTAAATAATGTATAAAATGTTAATATAAATAAATGTAATCAATGTCCCAATAAACAATCATAATAATTAATAGGTATATAAATATATTAATTATTAATGTAATTAATTTTTTGATGAGTGATTGCTAAGTAGGTATGACTTATGTGGCCAGGGGCGACGTGTTATAAGAATACCAGGAGCGACTGCTCCTGACTCGAAAATGGGTGAGTGTGTATCTACTATCCAGGGTTGTATACTTGTATGCTAAACTAATATGTAACTTAATCTAAATCGTATAATTATTTATCACGTAAATATAGCTATGCCGTAACAGCAAAACAAACTAAGTACAATGTAATAACTAATATATAGCAAAATAACAAGTGAGTCATAATCACTATTTAAGATAGTACCACAGAGTATATGAAATTTTTATAAATTTCATATATTCTGTGTTAGTACCATTGGTTATAAACACGATTAAAGATATCTTTAATCGTGGTTATAAATATTTAAAATTAATGATAATATACTATTTTAAATCGTTGTTCTCACAACATATAAATTTAGTTTAATTGTTTTAGATTAGAAGCTTAAAATCTGTATAAATAAAATATATTTATACCTATACCTAATTAGTACTGTATAAAAAAATTCAACTTTATCAAATTTCATATTTTTAAAATTATTGTTTCATATAATAATAATATTGCATTGGTCCTATTAAACGTAGTTGGTGGGTGCATTGCAAAACTAGGAGTACATTTTTTTTCGTGTTGTGACTGGGGGGAGGGGGTAATATGTGGTAAACCAGCTAGGTGTAATAGATATATTATGTCCTAAATATATTTAGCTCATGAAGATTGCTCCTGGAGTTTTGCAGTCTCAAGCCGCCTCTGTATGTGGCTATGTCCTATCTACTTATTTACGTTTATATAAATATCTTTGTATCATAATAAATCCGATTTGTTATTCTATCCTTAAACAATGCTTATCAATATGAATGTCTGAAATATAATTTTCTCTACCATCAACAAATAAACAATTTAAACTACAAAGCAACTAAGTATGCAAATATAAAGTATAATAATATCTTTTACCTATTCTTACTCTATTTCTATGCCCTATGGTATTAACTGTTTATTATTCGATATTTTATAACAACATAATGACAGCATATCAAATGGTAACACAACTTAACAAGATGACTTTATGCGACAAATAAATGGTTCAATAATGATTGAAAATATATAATAAAATTAACTTATTAAATTGAATATTGTACAACCAATACCAATAGGTAATGAAAATACGTATCACGTCATTTATATTATACTGTTTAATAACTTTATTATAAATAGAAATAGAGAATAAATGTATAACTTTTTATTGGAAAAATGAGCTCATAATTATTCAACGTTAAATTATATTATTTTAAAATAACAAAAAGAAAATATTGGAGGAAAATTATACTATAGGCTATATATAGATGCCTAACAAATTATTATATTGAATTATAATTTGTAATGTTCTGCGTATATGTTAGATCTGGTGGAATATCTGATCTTGTTTCACTGGATTTCTATCTTGCTGTGCATTTTGAAATACATTTGCTGCTTTAAGTTGGCTTCCAACACTAGTAAAATTTAAAAAAATATATAAATAAAATAAAATATTAAGTTCATAGGTACATGTCAATACTAACAAATCAATCCCTGGGCTGTAATGATTATTCAACTCCAAAAATGAAGGATTGCCTTCTACAATCTAAAAAATTATAGTTATTTTGCAATTTTTTTTTTGTAAATATTTAATTCATTAAGTAACATTTACTTCACCCACCACTTCGTGATGTTTTTGTGTTTCGGATCGTCCAGACATTGATTGACACGTACACGGTGATGATGATATTCTACACAAAATCAAAAAGGCAATTAAAATTTTTTTTTAAACTTATAAAAAATATATTTTATGAAATTGCATAATATAGTATTTTACCCATTTCTGCTATCGTTAAGGCTCCTTTCGTTGACTATGGACACAATTAATTATTTCATTAATATTCTTGCCATTAGGTAAATTTGAAAATTTTATCTATGACATGCATAATAAATAAGTTGAATGCTCACAYGCGTCATCGAAAAAATCCTCATAGACTATGAAATAGTTTCCCTGGTTTACTAGTTTATACAATTGAAAATGTCTCCACATAAACTGCAATAAGTTTTTTGTCGGATTTTCTATAGCCAAATTTTTAGCCTGTAAATGCATATCCTATAAAAAATATTTGACGAAAATATTAGTTTTTTATTATAAAAACGGTTTTATATTAATAAAAATATGGTTTGTTATTATTGTTTCGTCTCGACATCAACGAATTACATTTATTTCCCTGACTGAATTCATAATTGTATAAGATTGTTGAAGTGTCTATACAAATTTACAAAAGTTAAATTCCAACATTATATTAAATGATAAATAACAACATTTTTATTTTATACATTTCTTTAATTAATTTCGCACCGTGAAACCCCGACAAATTATTTTGTGATAACGTTTTCAGTAGAATTTGAATGAACTAATTGGACGAAATGTATTAGAAACTATTCTAAATGATATATTTATTTTTATATTTAATAAGTTTATTAATTTCTTTTAAAAATAGAATGATTATAATTTTTTCATTTTTATTCAATACAACTACCTATGTATTATTAGTATTAAAATATAACTACCGAAATATTCGAAACCATATTTATGTTAACTGATAATAAATTGAAAAAACAACATGTATTATTAAATTTTGTTTTTAACTAAAATATAATATCGAGGTAGTGACTGAGGTAGGCTATATATATTATATAAAACAAAATGTTGTTTTAATTAAAAATTATATTATTAGTTAATTCAATAAATATTTCTTAGATAACGTAAATAATATCATGAATGATTGCTTCAACGCCAATGTCAACATTGTCTTAGAGTGTAACAATTAAAGCTAGTTAATATTGTATAATATTAGAAAGCATTCAAAGTAATTTATATAATTGGTAGTACTATTCAGTATCAAATCAAATAATTACTTATTAAGAGGATGTCAGCGCACCATTTGTTTTCTCTGTCTGGCTCACTCGTAAGATAGACAAAACGCATATACGCAGAATCATTTTTTGTATATCTTGAAGTAATTTCAGAGTAAAACCTCCCATTACAAAAAAGATAGAAAATAATATTTTTGAGGAAATGACATATCGATTTGTCTAAATATTGTCTCTAAATAATTTAAACATTATTTAAATGTACAGTATTTTTTTGTTTATTTTGAAAGTCGAATACAAAGTCAAATATCAATAAAATATAAAATCAATATGTCATTCCCTCAAAAATATTATTCTTTATCCTTTTTGTAATGGAAGGTTTTACTCTAAAATTACTTAAAGACATAGAAAAAATGATTCTTCGTAAATGCGTTTATGATACGCGTCTATGTTACGCGTGGGTCAGAGAGAGAAAACAAATAGTGCGCTGACATCATCTTAAAGAATGATGTTGTAGACATAGCTGAAAGAGCTTAATGATATGATAATTCCGGTTATAAGTATACAATACACTAATACAGGTCTACGGACACTAGTAATATTAATATGCCATTAATATTAGGTAGTATTGTACCTTCACTGATTGCCAGTACCTACCTACTGGGCAAGTACTGTAATACCACTTTATATATTATATATCATCCATTCATCCAAGATATGTGCCAGTACCGGGCGAGTATTGGGAAACTAGCATTGGGCCAAGTACTGTAATTTCAGTACTGGGCATGTACTGTAATGCCAGTACAGAAAAGCGTTATCATCCCAGACAAATGCCAGTATTGGTACAAGTACTGTCTGTCAGTAGCGCGCCAGTGTAAATCAGTACTGGCGTGGTACAACGCCTGTTGTTAATTTCCAATTGGGTAGCGGCGGAGCCATAACAAACAAGAACTTAAATGATTTAATATAATTTACAAAAATATTTCACCGTAGTTACCTGTAACATGTAATCGATCAGATATTTTCCATAACCTTTATGCTGTCTAGATTCATGAACGAAGAAATCCATCAAACAGTAAACCATGGTTTCTTTACATGATCCTACAGCTTTGTTGTAAAGACACAATTTTTTCCATCCCATCTTTAAAATCCCAACAACGACAAAATTCCTTCACAACAAATACAATTGTTATACAATACAATTATAAAATACGATATAAAGTGTGTTATTTTATACATACATACATAAGTCAATAAAATACCCGAAATATGAAACTATTATATTGTATTAATAATGGCAACAGAATAATAATATAGTAACACCTTTATAAAATATTAATATTTCTAGACATGAATAAAAGTTTATATTTAGAATTTAACACTGCTAAAAATTAGATACATTATGGCCAAGATAAATTACATTAAATATAACAAAGGTATCTTACGTTGAAGTATTGTGTTCGATCATCATGTAAAGGACGTCATCGGAATTGATGAGAATTTCTGCGCTGGTGATCGGTGACTTTAACTYTTGAGCCAATGCTGATACTTTACCCATCTCGTCGATCATCCATCCCATTTTATTTTTCAAACTTGACAAAAACATAATAAACGTATTTAATACTTGAAAATATTACTAGCTCACTGCAGTATAAGTAATAAAAAATATTAATACCTATATAGTAATACAGAGCGAAGTAAAAAAAAAGCTGACAAATAAAATTATTTTTGTTCTAATTAATATTTAAACAATTTAAATTTTAATAAAAACTTAAAATTTAAATGTAGTTAAATTTTTTTTGGAAACATTCAACAAAATACCCGATTTGTAAATCTAATTTTTACACTATTTTTTTAAATATCAACATTTTTCTGGATTACTATTAGATAAACTATTTCAAGATAATCTTTTTGAGAATTTCCTGACAAAGGTACCTACCTAAATATATATTTTAAATTATTTATCAGCCATATAATTTTATAATATTGTTGTCATATGTTTAACTAGTATCATTTTTTGGTTCTTGACAGGTCTTTCTGGTGCAGCACGCTCCATAAATAAATAATAAAATATTCTTTGAAATAGAGGCTGATACATACTGTTTTCGTGTTTCATATAATATAAAGATTTATCATTTAATACAAATTTAACAAATCCATTAATATGACGGGCTGAATAATTAATGAGGCACACTTGCAGATCGACTTTCTTGAGTTTTTTTCCCAATAAATTACCTAGTTTACTAATACCATATTTAGTAAAATATTAACTACGCCTATTTATAATGCAAAACAGCTGTTCATAGGTTTAAACGCTCCGCAGATTTGAAATCAATTTCGCCAATAGGCTACGCACTACACAGCAATAGTAATAATAAGTTATTACTTATTAGTATTTAAATTAGTACACAATAATATAATAAAGAATGCCATAAAAAAATATCAATATTTTATTACTCAGGTAATAATGTACCAACCACCAATAATTACACTTATACACTTACTCAACGTTGTTCTCATATCCCATGGCCGTCAGCGTGTTGTCGATCTTCAGCACCTCACCGTTGGTCAATCTGTTGTACTCCATTGCGCCGTGTAAATGAATATGGCACTCTTCCGCAAAAACTTCAAGAATTTCTAACAATAATGCTATAGTAGTTGGCTTGTAGATATAATATATTCTATTGTATGTTCGATCGAGTGATCAAGTTGAATGTTTGGTTTTGCCTTGTAATTATATAAGTTAATATTTAATGTGTAATGGCGTTACGACGCTGGTGCCTGGTGGCTGGTCACGAAAACAGGACATCGGGCCGCCGCGCCAAGAGCACAGCGTTCCTGTGGGAAATGCGTAACACAGCCGGAGGCCGGACAGGCTGTTGCCGAGTGAGAAAATAAAACAATTCGATCGCAAACAAGCGGGTTACCTGAAAATAAGGAATTATTTGGCCCATCTTCCAATAAAACTATTCAACTGTAGAAGGATTTTAACTTGGGTATTGTCTAAATCGGGGGGCTGACGATAACGAGTCATCTGATTTAGGCTGTCACGAGTGTCACAGGCTCACGGCTCTGAAGCACCTGCCATGTAGGATTAAAATCTTTATTGTGTCGTCACGTTTTAGACCTGCTCCGATCTTCAATATAGAGAGTGGTTTTGTAGCAAATTTGAAATAGTTGGTGGCTTGGTGCTTTGAGGTACGAGCAGTCAATAATATTAAAATTTTGTACTTTTCGGTTTTACTAAAAACGAGGAAAACAAAAAAATATTCAAAAAACCCCACCAGTTTCAACAGAATTGCATCTATATACTTCTTGTAATTTAGAAATAAATTGTCGACTTAAAAAAATCTTTATACCCTTGTGCAATTTTGGTAGAGATAAATTTTCTTTTTTATGTTTAGCCAACTTTTAGAGAATAATAATAATTATTATTAAATAAAATGTGTTCTATGTATTGTTTATCGATATATAGTTAGAAATTTAACCAAAGTTTACCCTAGAATATTCTCTCAAATCCATATTTATACAAATACGGAATGATTACATTAATATTAAAATAAGACATTACACATTTAAAATACCTACAAGTAGTTTTATAACTTTGAATAACAGTAGTGCATAGACTATGTTGCTATCAGAAATGTGAATGATTTACCAATTAGTATTTGATTATTTGATATCACAAATACACATCAAGCGGTGTATATGGTCAAAAAACCAAACCTAAAACAAAAGCAGTAATTTCTCTWCAGATCACATTCATTAACATTTATCTGTCAAAATATCAATTAATAAAAAATGAAACCCCCATAACATAATCAATGTCATTTTAATTTAAGAAAAATAACCTGGGGAAGATAAAAATTATTAATTACACAATAGTGGATACTAATTTWTACCCTTAAAAAATAGCTATTCTTAAAACCAACAGAAAAATAGTACAAATAAATTAAATAAGTTGTACACCATTCACTAAGTAAATTATAATAATTATAGTTTGTAAGTTGTAACTCTATAACTTTACAGATGTTATTAGTTTAGTTACTTAGATAATGTAATTAAGCTTTGATAATCTTTAAAACAAAAAAATATATTTATGGTCTTAATTACATTTAATCATAAATATTAAAAATTATACAATCATAGCATTAAAATATTATTAATATAAATAACAAATTAACTGAATCAAAACTTTTGATGAAAAGTAAAAGTAAAAACAAAAATATAACTATTTCTTATCATTCTAGTTTATTAAAAAGAAATATACATCTGTTTAAAAATTATTTGCCAATTTAAATAATGATCAATGAGTATATACAATACAACAAAATAACATATTATCAATCAAGTTCATTTACAAATGTTTATAATTTATATACATATACATTTGATGGTTTGAACTCTGAATTGGAAACATAAACAAAATAAAAATCATTTATCATTTACCATAAGAAAAATATACATAACAAATATGTATGACATAAATATTTATCATATAGAATTTATTTCCTTAATAAGATTAACGATTTCGGTTGCTGTTGTGTAACTTTTACAAAATTTGTGTTCTAAAGATTGATTAATGTAAACCGAAGCTCTAAACATTCTATCAAGTACAATGCACTTGTTCGCAATAGGGACACCATACTTGTTAATTGAYATATGTGAAATTACATATCTTGGTGGATTGGTGACAATGCTCAAGCTCCATGATGGCATTGTTTTTGAAAGTTCTAGCATCAAGTCTTTTAAGTTATTTTTTTCATAGGCCGCACTCTCTCTAATAGGTTCCAACTTGTACTCTACATCTATATTTCCACTTCCGTAATTTACGTGTAGTCCTGACTTGGAATTAACATCTATGGGTGAGATTTCTACCATGGACGGTGTCACTGATTTGGAATACTTTTCATGGAACACAGAAAGGGGCTCTTCTACWACTGTTTTCCTGAGATAGGTACTTGGGATGTCAAAACGTTTAGAAAGGACATTAATTTCATGTTCTATACGCATTTCTAATTCATTTTTATCGGGCTGTGAGCACAATTTCGAAGAGCGTTTAGATTTTTTTCTTGATATTTTCTTAATTACTTTTTGAGGTGATACCTTAGCACTAGGTATTTGAGATTGTGAGGTACTGATTTCTTTCTGGGGGCAAGACGACGTGTCAATAATATTCGGTTCTGGTGATTTTTTCTTAATATTTTCGTTGGCTAATTCTCTACATTGCCGGCTGATAGCTTCAGATAGTATAGCCATACCATAACTCATTTGAGGATTTTTAGCACTTATTGCTGAAGCTGATAAATAATTAGAATCTGATATTGRTTCTAATGTACTAGAATCTGATTGCTGATCATTGATATTGGAAAATGTACTCTCAGTACATGTTGTATGTATTATAGATATATTAGATGAGCTTTCATTAGATTGTGTATTGCAAACACTAACAGGTTCAGACACAGTATCATTGCAGACAGCTGGTATTGATTCTTTAAGAGGCATATTGTACGTAATTGATATGCCATCATTTTGCACTACAGGAACATTTATTGTTAACTTATCTATACTATCATATTCTGGAACTGGGGTATAGAAAACAAATGGATTGTTTGGGTTAAACTCTTCTAACACTTTAGTTTTAACTTTTTTCGATTTTTGAGATTTTGAGATTTTTTTTTTACTATTAAYATCCAATGTTGATTCACTAGAAAACTGTTCATTGTTGGACGTTGATAAAATTGTTGATGATTTGTCCCCACTCCACTCATCACTCCATTTTTTCTTAATTTTTGGTGGTTTATTATTACTTCTGAGCATCATGGTATTATCATCAGAGTGTTGAGATAACTTTAAGTCCTCATTACTGTATGGTGTCTTACAAATTAAGTCCACATTTTGAGTTTGATTTAAACTTTCTTCATTATAACATGTATTACCAAAATCAGACTTTTGACATTTTTCTTTTTTTAATGAAGTACGACTACCACGTTTTCTAGGAATTTCATTTTTATTGCTCATTTCATGTTCATTAGTTATGTCACTTTTGTTTGTGTTATCCACTGCAAGTTTTTTTTTATTGGAAACAATTGATTTAGTTATTTTACTCTTAGGAACTTGTGGCACAGCAAAGTTATCATTTATTTCAAGTTCATGTTGTGTTTCAGCATTGACTGCATTGTTCATAGATTTTTTTTTACTAATAGATTTTGGTGATTTATTTTTAGGAGTTTTTATTGATAAAATGCTATTACTTTCTTCTACTTCAGAAGATGTGTTACTTTTGCTAACATTGTTTAATACTGGATTTTTTCTATTTGATGAATTAGATTTGGGTGTTTTAGTTTTAGGAGATTTTAATGGTACAACTAAGTTATCAGCTTTTACTAATTCATTAGACAGATTATCTTTGTTTACATCTTGTATTATAGGTTTCTTTCTAACAGCTATGATAGATTTAGATATTTTAAATTTAATAGGTTTTGGTTTCAAAGGCCGCCGTGTAGAAATTGTTTTTTCATTTTTTATAAGATTATTTGTACAAAGTGTAGAACCAGATGTTACACTAAGATCATCATCAATTAAACCGCTCTTTGTAGAAGAATCTTGGATTTTGGTGTTTTTAGTTTCTTTTTGAGGAGCATCATCAATTTTTTCTGGTTCAATTTTACTCAATTTAGGTTTTTTGATATTGCAATTTTTTTTTTTTGCATTATCTGATTGATCGCCATTTTCYATATTGGGTTTAGTACGTTTTCTAGATATCCTCGCAGATCTTTTTACATCAGCATTAGCTTGACTATCAGCCACTGAAACAGCATCTTCTCTAGTTGATGCTGGCAGTAGGTCATCATAACGCAGCAGTTTCACAGCACAATTTAAATTCATGTTGTCAATCAACTTGGTAGTCATCGGGGATTTTAATCAATAATAACTAAATTAAAAATTATACAATWAATCAATTATTTTTATGGGTATAATACAATAATAATATACATACATACTTAAATTTWAAGGTAAAATTTACAACCATTGGTTTTTATCTTGATATACTAAACAATCGTCTGTAATTGATCCATACCTAAAAAAAATATTCAAAAATGTAATAAATATCAATGCATGACAAAAATATTATTTCATATAAACAATCATACTATTCTTTTAATAAGTAAAATATTTAAAAATTCCTATTTTAAATATTTTATATGTATAKTTATTATTCTATAGGTAACGACCTAAAATTAAAAATCAATAAAAATAACAGTCTTATATTTTGTATTGTTTTAATTTTATGCTGTTTCAGTTAACAATTTGAATTATTATAGTTCAGCAGTCTTTAAGCTGTGATCCACGGAGCCCTAAAGGCCCAAAAGCAAACTATTCATACATATTTTTTATGAGTTTTATATATTTTATGAGCATTTCTAGTTTTTGGAGTTCCCTAGGATATATTATAATTATGGTAGGTACGGTTAATATAATATTATACTTAAATTAGATAGACATACATAGGATTTTAATTATTAATCTTTGTTGTGAGAGCAAAGTGAGCTTAGATCTCATATGAGTATAATTGTTATTTTTTTTTTTTAATGAAACAGTTTACAGTATCTTAGAACTTTAGCTATTGATGATTTGTTTTGGTTTTAAACATTTTAACTATATTTAAATTAAATACCCATAAATATTTACCTGTACAATTACAAAACAAA